CCTAGAAGATTCATTTAAGCATCTGAATATTGCTTCTTAAAAGCCACCCAGGGCCTCATAATAAACTCAATCTGCTGCATAGCCCAAATCGATCGAACTTTCAACAAGTTGAAGTTCTGAGAATGTTGCATCTTTCTTTCTCACAATTTATTTTATATACCAATAAAAATAATGAGCTTTAGTAGTAGGGGTTACTGGTCCACTTTCAAATTCCGAAAAAAATAAATAAATGTTTTAAGATTACTGTGTGTTTTCCGGACATCTTGTCTGACAATAATATTACTTACTTTGTAGTTGCAATGGGATTCTCGTGCTATTTTCAAGGTCTACTTTTGCTGGTGTAATTATCCTGAGCAAAGTGTCTTCTCTCGTAGTAGACTGACCAAGACAATCGACAGAAACAAAGGAAAATAGAAACTATCGCCATCTAGTGGGAATATTCTTCCCCTATCTTATTATCCATTAAGTATTTGGCTCATCAACCCACCATCCGAGTTTTATCTAGTCCACAGAAAACAAAAAAACAAGCCCAATTTCGTTTATTCTAGACAGACTTGGCGACAGTGAAATGAAGCTGAGAAACTGAAATATTAAAATGAATATTAGCCTCAACAAATTATGAAAAAGTGCTAAATTTTCCGGAAGAAAAGAAGGCCCCCCAAGATAAACTCACATTCACAATACCTGTTAATGTATACCTATGATATTAAAACCAAAGACAGACTATTCAAAGCTGGGCTTATTTAATACTAAGCAATAGAAGTTGAGCTCGACGCTAGTAAATAATCGTATTCATAGATGGTAGCTGTGGCTAAGCAACAGGAATTATCATTAGGGTATAGTTGCGCAGATTATCCATAAATAACATAATTAAACGTAGTTTTCATAACTCATTCTGAGTCAAATGGTCGTTTTATATTTATATGGTAATCATATAAAATAGTTACAAATATATATTTTTCATTAAGTCAGATGTTCTTTAACGAACAAGTCGATTATGGCCTAGTTGTTAGCGTGAAGGACTACAAATCCGAGGGTCCCGTGTTCTCGTCCCGTTGCCGCAAAATCGCACTCCAAACTTTGATATCGTGGGTGCATTATAAGAGTATTTATTAAATCCCACTATTCGACTAAAGTAGGCCACGTATTGACGGTGGGTGCTGTTGACTAACTACCTTCTCTGTAATGTGTTAGTTCAAAATTAGGGATGGCTAACGCAGATAATCTTTAACATGTATAAACACCAAAATGATACGAACATAGTCAATACAACTTTCCTACAAAAATGGAGTTATCCTAGAGGCTGTGTATAATTTCATTTATACTGGTTTTTTTTTTATAAAAGGCCACTTTAATGTTTTTAGATCACCGGTTGAAGTTTTTGGGCTTGTTTTATTCTGAGGTTGCTTAGTTTTTTTGTAACAGCTGACTTCAACACACAGTAAAATGGTTGTAGGAATAGTTTCGGTGACTAACTGGAACAATGAATAGCCTACCGATCATTAGACTTTAGAATCGCCCAATCCCGTTCCTGTTTAATTAAAAAAACACACCCACAATCGTGAACTTTCTGGCCCCCTAACTTGACACATTTAATATTGCAATTAAGACACGTAAATCACAAGTTTGAGGCTTAGCGACAAAAAAGTATAATTTCGTTTCAGGCATATTGTGCTACTATAATAAAAAGTAAAAAAAAAAAAAAACGTCGGTTTTTGTGTTTTTTACGCTTAATATTTGAAAGTCAATATTGCTTGTTTGGAGCTTATTACAACAAGCATTGCTGCTTGTTTTGGGCTTATTTCAAAAGGCATTGCTGCTTGTTTTGGGCTTATTTCAAAAGGCATTGCTGCTTGTTTTGGGCTTATTTCAAAAGGCATTGCCTCTTGGTTTGGGCTTATTTCAAAAGGCATTGCTGCTTGTTTTGGGCTTATTTCAAAAGGCATTGGAGTCTTTATAAGGAATCGTTTCCATCCAGTGAGCTAGTATCCTCTCCAGTATCCTTTAATTGCCTCAGCTAATATAGCTAATTGGCACAAAAGCATAAACGAAAATATATAAAAACGAAGATTAACAAATTATGATCTTATTAAATCATTTGATGGTCATAATTATAGTAAATGGTTTTAATTAGTTGTACGTACATTGTTAAACACTTTTCTAGAAACTTCTTTATTAAAATACGTGTTATTTATTTTAGCTCCAATAAGATGGCTTACTTTCACCCGTCATAAATATTTTGAATTTAAAAGTTTTGATGTGATGTTTTTTAAAAATGTTTACGACATACTTAACTAAATCCGGTTTATCAAGGATTGAAAATCGAAAATACCAAGAGGTTAGTGCTATTAATTCCTCATCCCAATTTTGTTTTACTAATGTTTTGTTTGTTTCTTTGTTCTTAAGCACAGAGTTACACCGATTCAACATTCCTGGAACTAATATGCTAACTCATCATACGCACATTCACTTGTACCGATG